GCAAAGCGAAACAAGGAACTAATTTGCTCCTTCCCATGTGCAGGCAGGTGTTGAGCTATCCCCAGGAGAGCAGGGCCCCATCACACATAACAGTTACTTGGCAAATGTCCCCCCTTTCCTCCTTCTTTCCCACAGTTTATATATATATGTGATGTTATATGGTCAGGAATATCCCCTTCATCAGTTTGGGTCGCCCATCCTGGCTGTGTCTCCTCCCAGACTCACGTGCACCCCTAATTTCCTTGCCAGTGTGGGAGTATGAAGAGCAGAAAAAGCCTTGGCTCTGTGTAAGCCCTGCTCAGCAATTAAAAAAAAAAAAAAAACCTCTATATTATCAACCCTGTGTTCAGCACAAATCCAAAACAGCCCCATAACAGCCACTGTGAAGAAAGTTAACTCTACCCCAGCCAAAACCAGCACACCAGCATCCAAGTTGGAAGCACTGGTAGCCCACTCTGCTCACTTAAACTGCTGTGCAGCTATTGCATGTGTTGGCTGGACATGGAATAGCCCCCTCCTGCACTAGACCTCAGCTCTGCTCTTACAGACTTAAGGCATTTCACGGCACCTCTCTTGCATTCAAATGGCAGCCTCAAAGCTGGTGCCCTTCTCAAACCACCCTTCCCTGGCAGCTATGCAACTAGAGCAGAGGACCACCCAGTCTTCACTTGGCATTCCTCTACTTAGACATCCAAGGATACATCCTACATTTGTTTTACTGACCACTGCACAGAACAGTGACCTTATGCTCAGCTGCCAGCGATGTATCATACATAGGGCAGAGCCTCTGCCCTAGCTCTCCCTCAAACATACACACTGCAAGCCCTGTCTAGGGTGCACTCCTGGGCATATAAACTTCATATCTGGTGATGTTAAAATGTTATCCTAACCAACGATCCAAATGGTTTTGCATCAGCAATGTATTGCCTTACTGAGTACATCCTCATCAGTATCATCTCCAAAATCACCAGTAACTATCTCTTTCTTGATCACTCACTGAAAGAAAACAGGACCAAGAACCAAATCACAGGAACATTTGAGTGATAATTCTCTGCTTAACATTTGCCAGTTTGAAGCCTGCTGAAAATTTTTGTATAGCTAAATGATAGGAAAACTAATATGGTATACATTCTAATACAAAATGACAAATGAAACATACTGAAAGATTTAACAGAAAAAACATCACCTGCCTTGCTGAACAAATTGTAATTAAAAAAGGTGCAAAAGAAATTGGCACCACCCATTTTCTCTCCACCCACATTGGTTAGTATTATATTATTCTCCCTTAATTTTTAACTGATTGATTTCCAAGTCAGATGTTTTATTGGTTTTCATACAGTACTTTTTCATATTTAAATACCCGTGTCATCCAATTCACCTTTCAAATACTGGCACAGCATTTGTTTTTCTAGCCTTGTAGCACTGCAGTGCTCAAAAATTATTACAAATATCAACACCATCTTGAATAGTTTCTTAGATAGCCCTTTGAAAATTCCTGAATGCACATTTTTCAGACTTGCTGATTTGAAAATCTTCAATTTTAATTATTATGTAGAGCTGTTACTATGTAACAGCTTCAATGGCTGTTAATCAACATCTGGAGATATTATTGGAATGAGAATGTCTATGCTACCAACATCATGAGGCAGGAGTTACTGAATGATTTAATTGTCCAAAAACCTGGCCAATTTTCTGTGTTACGACATTAAATGGCAAATAAGCTGCCTCAACAACCAAATGGATTTCATTAGCATGGTTTCCTAATACATTTCTAAAATTCTCTCCCTCTCATAGCTGAGTTTTCTCCTCATATCCTTTTGTACTGTAAAAAATAAAAGTAGCTGTTTTCTGTAATCCAGGTTATTTTCACTGACAGCAGACTGTCAGTGAGACTGATATTCTTTAGATAGGTGATTGGTTGAAGCTGAATGACTGGTAAAGCACCAGCTTTTCTGTAGTGTGCTCTGGTCCTGAATTCTCAGTTCCATGGCACGCTCAAGCTTCCAGACCAGGAGGTACAGGAAGAGGGCGGAAATTCAGTAGGAGTGATGTCATTTTTCAAAAGGAAACTTGTAGGGCAGAATGAGGGGCAGATGCCTAGCCTTTTCCTCCTTGTTTTTTTCTGTTAGGTGATAAATACCAGTACTGCATTTTCACTGTCTCCAGGATGGCTTGTCTGACCAAGAAGAAACTGGAAAAGCTTTGTGGATTGCCCTTTGGTGCAACCCAAAGGGTGACTAACTTGGAAACTCCTACAGCCACTCTCCTAAGTGTGTGCAAGGGTGCTTAGTATATTTTCTGGCATAATCTGGAACCAAAACAATATACTTTCAATTGCTGGATTCCAGCACTATTCCTTACCTGAATGCTGGTCAATCCCAGCATACAGGGGACATTGATAATCTGTGAAGGAGCCATCACTTCAGGATTGCTAACTACCCACATCAGCAAGTGGGACACTTCAGCTGGATAGAGTAGAAACAGAGAGTTCACTCACAGCAAGGGAATGCACCCAGCAACAAGTTACTCTGTCCCAATCCAAGCTGGAAGCAAGAATATCTGGGATGCACTTAGCACATCTCAGCTGTCACACTGGTACACAACAAAAAAAGACTCTCAGAGCACAAAAATGGTCAAAGTCTCAAACTTCATTGCAAGAAATACGTCCATATCTTTGCAAAATGAGCTTCTGGATGATCTTCCAGTGCATGGACAAGAAGACAGAAAAAAGGAAATCCAGCACAGCTACACCTCCAAAAATCAGTGAGCTATATGAAACCACCCCACTAAAATTACATGCATGCCATATGTATCACTGAGTGCACAGGAAGAACTAGGGTTTTTTTGAAAAGTCTAGTAGTATGGCACAGAAAGTGGAAAATTTTCACCAAGAAATGCCAGGCTTTAGTTTTGTATCACAGATGACTGTCAGTTGAAGTGAAATAAAGTTACATGGGTTTGCAGTGATGAAAATTTTACAGCAGCTCTAAAATTTTCAAGTCTCAAAGGTTTAAATGTAAATATTCATGAACTCCACAGAGTATATTTTCCACATCAAATCCATTCTGAATATCTTATCATACAAACTACTAGAACAATTTTGCGTGATCTTTCAAAGAATACTTACTCGTTCACCAAAGTGGAAAATTTCATCTGCAAGTGTTAGAACATTTAGAAGAGGATGATTTGAGCAGATACTGTTCCGTAACTTCTGTCTCATAAAATGTAGACAGCTTAACTGGTCATGGAAAATTTCTTTTTTACAAATCCCTGCTCTCCTAGGACATTCCTGCTCACCTGTGCCAGGACACTGCTAGTTCAGCTTCAGAGTATTTAAAGTTCACTGTGTAAGATGCAAGCACCACAGAAATCATTCTCTTAGAGTTTAACAGACAATAAAGTGGTTCAGTATTGTAGCTATGCCTGATCTAAGCCCATTAAGTAAATTTTCCAGCACTTGGAAATAAACTAAATTTCTTCTGTAACAGAAAAAATAATACTTGAAACTAATTGGCTCTTCCATTGTCTCAATTATTAATTCAATAACTGTGAAAGGAATTAATTTTAAAAAAAATCCAAACGTTTAAAAGTTAGAAACTAGTTGAAATCTCTTCAACTGAAGTAACGCTGAACATATTCATGGTATCAAAGAGTTAAAAACAAAACCGTGACTAACTCCTGATAAATCAAACCTAATGAATAATATCTGCTTAATATATCCCATACAGCAGCAGAAAAATTTAGTGTGTAAGTGCTAGAGATATCCTGGCAAGAAGAATAGTGATTAAAAAAAAATGTGCATTTATTTGTGCTAGATTCAGTTATTAATTAATAAAATATGATAGTGATTACCCTACAGTATCAATAAACAGCCTCAGAGACAGTGGGAGCAGTAGGAATAAAATATTTAGAAACAGAGCAGAAGAATTTACATAAGAATAATTGCCTTTCCACTGCTAATCAGGCAAAGCAGGACACATCTACCTGTAAAGTGAAAAATATATCTTGAAAAAGATGGGACCTCCTCTCCAGGTCTAGCCCAAGGTAAGGGTTCGCTTCCACCCGTGCTGGGGAATGCATGCTGTGGCTCCTGTCCATCCGCTTCCCCAAGGAAAGGCACACAAGAGATGTGTGGAGAGCTTTCCCTTTCTGCTCCAAGCTGCAAATGTTTAAAGGGGAAACCTTTTTTAAAGCGGCAACTGAGAGAGAAGCTTAAAGCACAGGAAGGAAGACAGCCATTTGATTCCGATGATGTTTTTGCCTCCCCGTACCCAAGTGTTGCTAAGCTATAATATTATGTGATGTTCACAGCTATCTCTAGGCACAATAACCTTTTGTTCCACAGGGCAGCTCAGTTTTTTCTATCGAACAATAACAAACTGATGCTAGACAGTCTTGGTGACTTAAAAGCAATCACCAATATAAACAGTAAATATCCCCTCTAAAACAGTTTTTGTCTGTGGTACACAGGCAGTAAGCAAAACCTAATCAGGCTGCAGCTCCAGCACTGGTGAGGATATTCCCTGGGACTGCAAATGAGGGCTTTCACCACAAACTTAAAACAGTCAGACCAAGAATCCCTAAGCATCACTTCCAGAGTATCTGTGGAAACATCTTACTGCTGTGCACGTGTCCAATAAATGAGTGTCACGCATGGGCACACCCTCCATAGATGATAGCCCCCTTGTACAGACAGGGACACCTGTCCTTTCACTATTGTCCTACTGTATGCATCAAGTACTATACTCAGTACCAAAAAAAATGTGAAAAGAGGCCTTGTGAAAATTAAAATGCTTGAAACATAAATGAAGCTATCTGTTTAACACTTTAAGCACTAAATGAGATTTGGCTAGCTGATACTACAAATACATTCTCAAGTATTAAAGATAAGGTGTCAGTTAGAACAGCAGTAGGTATTTCTGTGGATAACCCCCAAAGCTACATAAACTTCTTAAGACTTAAAGGAAAGAAGGAGACAAACAGCTGTTATACCCTTCTTCCCTTATACAGTTAAATGCAAATTCTCCTTTACAGTCATATTCCTGCTATCTCCCTGCATACACAGCTGATACGCCACCTACTGCAAACCCAAGCTGACAGTCGGAGCAATGCTAGCAGCATTTCCATTCCAACATTGTTCCGGAGCTGAATAAAGGTGCTTTTTAAAAAGAAACATCCCCTTTACAAGCTGAGAAGAACAAAGCACGATAGCTGGCCTTCTGTCTCAGCTTCAATAATGGAGAGAAAAGCAAGCAGAAGAGAAAATGAATGCGAAGAAAAAAACAGCAACTCTGAAGGCTCTGAGCAAGACAAGGAGTATAAAACGTCTCTGGTTACTCTGAATGTTGGTGGTTATCTATATATCACACAAAAACAGACACTAACCAAGTATCCAGATTCTTTTCTGGAAGGGATCATAAACGGAAGAATAATGTGCCCATTCGATGCAGACGGTCATTACTTCATAGACAGAGATGGACTCCTTTTCAGACACATACTCAACTTCCTACGAAATGGAGAACTTCTTCTACCGGAGGGGTTTCGAGAAAATCAACTTTTGGCACAAGAAGCTGAATTTTTCCAGCTTAAGGTACTCTCAGATGCAGTGAAATCAAGGTGGGAGAAGGAACAGCTAGCATCTCGAGAGACTACTTTCCTGGAAATAACTGACAGCCACGACCGTTCACAAGGACTCAGAATCTTTTGTAATGCTCCTGATTTCATTGCAAAAATAAAATCCAGAATTGTACTGGTGTCCAAAAGCAGGCTGGATGGATTTCCGGAAGAGTTTTCAGTATCTTCAAATATTATTCAATTTAAGTACTTCATAAAGTCTGAAAATGGTACAAGACTGGTACTGAAGGAGGATAACACCTTTGTCTGCACCCTGGAAACTCTTAAGTTTGAGGCTATAATGACGGCTTTAAAATGTGGATTTAGACTGCTGACCAGTCTGGATTGCTCTAAAGGGTCAATTGTTCACAGTGATGCACTGCATTTTATCAAGTAATCACAAAGGCAAAGGAAACAAGCATGCAGCCTGTAAACCTCCTTGAGCTGCAGGCTCCTGGCATCACAAATAATGTATCTAACTAACCTGGTACCACAGAGCTCAGCTGCTAATCAACTGATGTGAGCTAATGGTATGTAAATCTCATAATGACATCTATCTCTGGCTTACTTAAGCTGAATGATAATTTTATGCCTGAATTTAATAAAAATTACCTGTTAACACTATAAACACAGATTGTATGCTTTATGCTCTTTGTAATATGTTTTCTCAATGCTGTCTTTCAAGCAGAGAGTCTAGCTGAATTTTTGTGTACCTGTGTGACTAACATGCATACACCTAACTGCTCTGCTGAACAGCAGTGACAGTATTTTCACATAATAAACAGGCTTAAAATATGTTTTGCTTATAACAAATTCAGAATGGATTTTAACTGGAATAAATTATTTTGACTGTTCATTAGTGTTTATGCTAATCTATTGTACTGCATTTGCAAAAAAACAAGATTGCAAGAGAGTTTAAAATTAATCAACTTGATTTTAAAGTTAAATGACTTCTCAACTCACAACCAAATTTATACTATGTTACTACACTATTAACAAATGCCACAAAGATGTAAACCAACAAAATAATGCTGGGGGAGATTCATTCTATTACGGGAAATGAGTTAAATCTGCACAGAATTTTACATTTTCTAATATATATATACATATCAAATGGCTAATAAAAATATTTTACTTAAATGTAACAGGTTTCCAGGACTGACATCCTACAATGCTACAGTCACTATTTCCTAGCAATCATTTGTGCTCTTAAGGACAGGCAATTACCAGAGCCCTTGCTTTGCACAATGGCTTACTAAATGCAACTAGTACTATCAATTTTGAATAGACCACCTGCTGGCATTTAAGATTATTCACTCTAAGTAATATAGTGAATAAACCTTCATTCTCCTTATCTCCACTATTTATCAAATATTTTCATTTATATTTTAAACAAAGTTGTAATAGCTTCTATAGAACAACTGTAACTAATTTAACCACAGGCATTACAAACCAGTCACTTCACAAAAGCGAACTGAAAAATCATCACAAAAGGCAAAAAGAACCTTCACTAAATCTAAGTTTAAGCTTCGTTTGTCACTGAACACAACCATCATTCACAGCTCACATGAACTGAAAATTCAGGTAAAATGCTAATAAATAAATAAAAAACCCAACAAAGCAGTTTTCCCAAAACATCAATTTTGTAAAGAAAAAAATACTAAGAATGTCAACAAAATGCAGTACAATCCATAGCAGAAGTGACAACCAAGGAAAACAGCTAACACAAGACAGGCTGAGAACAGTTTTGGTTTGGATTTTAGAGGGAGCAAATCAATTCTTAGTAGTGGGGATTATGAATATAAATGCAAGGTCCATTTATCCATTTATCAACATGAAGCTGTTTCACTTGTAATATACAACAGGTGCTGCTAACTAGGTTCCTTGCCAGATATGAATTATGACAGGGACTCCACAACTCTAGACCAGGCAGCAGTGACTGAACCATATTCCAATAGGATTTTATCAAATGGGGAAATTCAACCTCTCCAGAATACTCCCTCAGAATGAATCCACTGTCTAGAAATGATCAAGTTTTCTAATCTAGTCCCCACGTTACAGACTTACAGTTCATAAAAGATGTGGTTCTGAGTGGAACTTTTCCAAACTCAACTGTCTAAAAATCAGATCCCTCTACATTTCAGATATACAAGCTGAAGAACTGTCCATGTATCCCAAAACTTTTCTGAATTTGTCCAAATGCATTAACTATGTACAAACAAGAAGTATAATGTAGTAAAATACTATTCTTTACATATGCCATCAGCGTGTCATCTTCTCCCCCTCCAAGTTAACTTCAAATTGATATATTTAAAAAAAAAATCCTCGTTAACCACTAATCTTATGCTTATAAGAATCTGTAGAACTTCTGTGAAAATAAATGTGAAAGCTCCCCTAAAAGAAATCCAAAATCCTGCTGATCTTCAAGGACAAGAACAGGAAACACCATCACCATCACACAGAACAATTACACTAAAAGGCCTTTGTAGACACAATTCTCTATGTGAGCAAGAAAAAGTGACATGACAGTCTAAAAAAGCTCTATAACGAATCTAGAAGTTTTAAAGCAGCATGGTCTCAGTGCTGTCAAATACACAGCCTGCATCAGCACAAAGTGGAGGAGGCTGTTGCTCCTAGGATGTCAAATCATCCATTTTCACTTAAATGCTTGTGGTTATAACCTTCATTTGTAATGGATCTTTGACTGAGTTTTAAAATGTCATTGCAATTGAAAAGAAAAAAAAGCCAAAATCAATTTTCATTTCAAACAATTAATATATGTTAATTAAAATACGTTGTGGTTGCTCGCCTTTCAGTTGGGCTCTTAGGGTGCCAAACATCGAGGAATCAATCATTAGCACTTTAGTATCAGAAAGCAGTACCAGAATGTTATCAGAGCATGACTTCACTCATGAAAAACCAGTAGAGAATTTGATGGGTCTGCATTTGTTACAGAAAATACTTTTGGAATTAAAGTTATTCATAAACTGGTAATCACAGGTAAAATGCAAACCATCTGAAGCATCTTCTAAGAATATTCTATAGAATATTATATCACAAAAGATTTACAGAAAGCCTTTATTTGTCAGGTTTTTGGTTCAGAGTACATACTGCCCTCTTAACCTATAAAAGAGAACTTGAAACCCCTTTTTAAGTGAAAAATGTACATCTCTAATCATTAGTAAAAATAAACACCTGTGTTGTTTGGTTGGTTTGTTGCCCTTTTTTTTTTTTTAATTCAATGATTCATTATGTTACACACTTTTAAGTGGCTTTATATTTCTGTGTAAATAACACTGACATCTGTGGCATACACATGAAGTCATCTGCTGCAACATTAACTTCAATGTTGTCTTCCTTTCCCATTTTCATGAGCAGTCATGCATTTCTGCAATTTTTACACACCATCTCCGATCAAAGGCACCACACTCATCTCTTTGAATTACACAGCAGAAAAGAACACAGGGTAAAAAACTCATTCTCTTCCCTGTTCACACTGAACAAATAAATAAGGATATTGAATACATCAGCTGCCATATCAGTTACAAACACTTCAAAATAGTTATAAACTTGAGTAATTTTTCAAACTAGGGTGGAGGCATGTCTTGCTCTGATATATGAATAAAAAGATCACATAAAATCTCCATACTGTGAATAATGTTTCCTTTTTACTCGATAAAGATACTGAAACTTAAATATATTTTGCATACGTTGTGTCAGTCAGGTGGATACTTGTGTTCCACCATAGTAGGGTGTGCCAGAAAAGGTTAACCAGTTATTCATCAGCTATCTCTTCTTTTCTTTAAGGTTGGAAATTCCAAAATCAATAACTACCATGAAAATAGGAAAGCTGCAAAATCAAGTGCTTAAGTCAGAAATACCAAGTTGTTTTAACAACGTCCTTTAGGACACAATGTGCATGCAAAGTATTTCTATTTTTCTTTCTGTCATTAAGACTTGGATCACAATGCACTTAACAGAACTCTCCTGCAAGTATGAGGAAGGAATGACAATTACCATAATTTCTCAAATGATCTTCAACTGCTTGGGTATGAGTAAAAAGGAACTCCCTCCCCTCTCCCCAAGGAGGCACTTAACCTGCTCCCAGGCTTGGTCAGCTCCACTTGCCTCCTGTCTGTTTTCCTGGGTGAGAAAAAGGGCCACTAAGCAGAAAGGACAGAGGCAGTTGAAGGTAGGACTGAGCCCTATACACTACAAGAAGAACATCCTTGCCTTTATTATTTCCTTGAATGACTGTTCATGGAAAAATATAAATAGTTGCCAAATTGACCAAAATACTGACACCTGGATGCCCATCTTTCCCCATTGGTAGAGGAGAAGCCAAGGGCTCTTTATCACACTTGACAGTATACTGGCATAGGTACCAACTGCATGGATTTCTATATGAGGACAAAGCTACGAGGCTGCACTACACCAGACATATACTATGCCCCCTCGAAGTATTTCCTCAGTCTCCAACCACTTACTGCCCAATGACTTCCAGAGTCAGATTCAGTTTCTAGCAGGAGCCTTGATGCTGTGAAATACACAGGCTGCACAAAGTTCAATTGCAGCTCCAACTCTGCACCTTCAGTACTGGCTCACCCACTGACCAGAGTTTCATAGCACCATAATTGCACTATTGACATTTTCAAACACTCATGCTTTTTTTTTTCTTTTTTCTATTTATACCTATTACAGCTCTTTAAGTGACAATTGGTCTCTTCTTTTCTACAGTGGGTAATGCCCCTGTAGATCATAAAGGAGAAAAATATTACATCAACCTTTGCAGCAATCAGTGGCATTATTATTTTCACCTTTTAAAAGCATTGCAAGGTTTCCATCCAGTAAGATGAGAACAGCTTGAGAAAATTATCTTCCTCCTCTGCTCCCCATTTGTATACAAGCAGAATAATGGCAGGCAATAAATAATAACATTTAATAGGAGCAGTGTCTCATTTATTTTGGGTAGAAGGGTCACGTTGCCCTTACTCTGTTGATTCAAGAATCAGGATTGGGGATGAAGAGGACATGTTAACTTGGATATATAACAAAATAAATGTTATTTTTCTAGGCTAGATCATCTTTGCTAAATAACTATTACATAATCCTAATTTATCTCCTGCCCTGCAACACAGGGGAGATTCACAGGAAAGTGGTTACTAGTTAAAAACCTGAAGGAATTTTTATATGAAGAGAGAGGCTTGCATGACCTACTAGATTGAAACAAAATCAATAAATAAGGCATACAAAATTTAGGGTCAGAAAAAATATTGTTATGGGGTTTATTTACTTTTGAAATAGACACTCTGTAACTCCTATGTGGTGGCATATCACAGAGAGCATTGTCTGAAAACACTGTCTCTGCAAATCATCATCATTCACAATAAAATGCCAGAAAACAAGCCGGGTGGCAAGGACAGGGGAAGGTAGGAGGAAGATGTATGATGATACCTGAGGAATGCGGATGAGCAAGCACTCGGAAAAAGAAACCGCAGTTGCCTTTCTTTCTGCAAAAAATTGCGTAATATTCTATAGAACCAGACAGTTGATTGCTTTTCCTAGAAACATGTATAGTAGGAGTACCACACACAGCTAAGGCAACAGTCTCCCAAGAAGCTGTTTCTATCGGCGCTGGTAACAGTTGAACATCATTGCCATTATCACTTAACACCATGTTTGTTCATTTTAAGCTTCAGAAAAGAATACTGCTCTGGTAGTTCAGAAACAAAACTGTTCACAAAGCTGTAAACAGCATCTACTCATTTAAAATACTATTATGACACAATGATATGCAAGTTCAACACGTTAAGATTTCAAAACCAAGTAGTTAGAAGACAACTGTTATAAACTGAGTCATTATGAATGTCTGTAAACTTCTCCTGGTAATGCTAAAAATTACAACAATACTGCCTTATTTACCAGTGGTGTGACTTCGGGGGACATAACCTTGGTTTACAGAGAGTTCAGGAAAGCCATCATCTTTGTGATCATTAAAGGGGGATTCCACTAGTTCCACCCCAAGCATTATTTCAGTTATTTCAGTGTTATTTCATTATTTCAGTGAAAAGCTAGATCTCTATGCTTTTCCAAGATACATCTTTTTTTTTGCCTTTGCCACTACCCCATTCCAAGCTTTCAGCAGCAGTTTTGTACCAGGTATGGAAAGCCTAGCCAAAAAGCAGCACAAGGTTTTCTTGCTCACATCTCCTGAAGAGAGATTTGGCACCATGTGTAGGGGGGTGGCACTTCACCAGTCGCAGAAGCCCAACAAGGAGATGAGAATTCTAATTTAAAAACCCAAGACTGCTTGCTGGGGAAACACCCTAGGAAGATGAGGTCCAAGAGGCTTGCTAGAGTCTGGAGTCTGATGCTCAGGGAAGTCTGCAGTGCTGCACTCCCTGAGATGTGAGGATGGGGAGGAAGCAGTGTGGTGAGAGAGTCTACAATGCCTGAGCACTATTAGATGACGTGGAAGGGAATTGATGTTATCTGAGGGTCTTGGGTTTATTGAAAAGGCAGATGACCACACAGTGTGACACTGAGGTTGTACAAGTAAGGTCTAATAATCTTGAAATTAATAAATAAATAAAGGGGGAA